CCAGTTGCCGCCCAGGTCATACAAGTGTGTTGTGCCTGTCATAGCTGCCTGTACCTCCCTGAGACTACAGAGAGAATGGCTGTCTGAACTGAGCTTCATACGTTACAAAGAACGTTCAGTTGGGCACCATATTTATGTACTGCAAATTCAGTGCATGGTGAGTCACCTTTTAAATATATTTCTTTGTAAGAGCCCTGCAGTTCATTTATTGCCTGTTTCAAAACAAGTTGAACTTCATTTTCAAAATTTGATATTTACTTTGGGAGTTCGTTTCTAAGCTAGTTGGGATCAAATGGAAGTATTTCACAACTAGTCTTTACGCATTTGCTCACAGACCCATACCTATTTTTGATGTCAGCTCTGAAGTGAAAGATCCATTTATAATCTTCTAATAGATCCGTGGTTTCATTTCCCAGTTAAAAAAACTGCCATTGTTCAAGTACACACTGACTTCCCTGGATTCAGGTCTTGTCCAGGAAATTCATGGGAAAGTAACACATTGAATAAGACAGGAAATTTTTTTCTGATAATAAAAGTGTTCTGATTCAGTTTTCTCAAAGTTTACCAGATGGTCCTACATGAAATCCACTGATTTTTATTCCCAGCCTCACTCTGCTGTCTGAATCCCAGAGTGGGAGGCAGAGCCAGGAGTGAGGGGCCTCAAAATCTGGAGGTGCCAAGGCCTCTCGAGATTCATGGAGGCTGTGGTTGAGGCTGGAGGCTCAGACTCTCCCAGATGGTTCCTTGTTGGTGTGTTTGTAACTCACTGTAACTCTGTAACTGGCCTCCGGAGGCTAGAGGCTGGAGGCTAGAGGCTAGAGGCAGGAGGCAGGGCCTTGCAGCCCTGGCAGAGGTGGCTGGACCATCTGGGAGGTCAGGCTCCAAGCCACATCCTCCCTGAGGCAGATGCTACTACTTGATCCCATTGCCATTCTCTCTGAAGGGAGGGTGAGATTGCCTGAGTCTAAGAGAAGAACTGTCACCCCTTCTCCCACCACCAGGATCAGTCTGCTCCAGGCTTGGCCATAGCCAGCCTAGGTCACTAGAATGCTTTAGAGCAGTGAGTTCTCTGTCTTCTACCAGACCCTAACCCCACAGCCCACAGCAGCACAGCAGGGTCTGGCCTCCAGGGAAGACTGAGGAGGGCAGAAAAGGGAAGCTACTGGTGGGGAAGTTCCCTGGCACTTAATGAGCCAGACCTGTCCACACATGTTGCTCCTGGGCCCTGGCAGACAAGCAAACCCATCTCTGCTTCCCTACGGACCTAGCCTTGTCATGGAATCATTGACTCAACACCAGCACACACCCTTGGAGACCACAAGCATCAACCTGTCCTTTCAGATGTAAGAGGGAAACAGGCCCACAGAGGCCATGTGAAGTGCCTGAGGCCTTCCAGCCCGTGAGTGGCAGAACTAGGGTTCGAACCTAGTCTTCTGACTCATAAGCCAGTGCTCTGTGCACTGGGCCGGGTTGCAGTTCCAGATTTCTTTTGTGGAGGCTGGGGATCTTCCTCTTCAGAGTGCCACAGGTTCATGGCTTCAAGGCTGGGGCAGCCTGTCACCTGATAAAGAGTTCTGGTGCTAGTGAAGATTAAAATAAATTCCACAACCCCACTCCTGCCTCGTATGTGGGACATTCACTGTTCTTCCCTTTCCACTGGCAAGTTTACCCCCTTTGTGAATTAGAGAAGAATAGTGAAACAGTCCTCACAGAAATGATGGGAAGAACTGTGCTTTGAGCTGCCTCGCTGTGAGGGCAACTTGGTGGTTTAAAAGCTCGGGCTGCAGTCATTAAAATGAGGTTCTGGCCTCAGCTGAGCCAAAGATAATGTATTTCAGCTATTCTTTAGTCCCCTTTGAATGGCAATGAGGATAACAGTGCCTGATTCCTAAGAACTGTTTTGAGGATGAAATGATATCATGCATGTCGCTGATTCGGAATGAACACCCCATAGTTAGCTTTAATTTCTCTTTATCAGCCTGAAAGTGTTACTTGGTGACTGTTGTTGTCTGGTCACAGTATATTTATATCATCCAGCACTGGGGGTTTAATTACCACACATATTAGGTCTTAACTGGATTCTCATAATTGTGCCTATGGAGAGGCAGATTTTTTTTTTGTGGTACGCGGGCCTCTCACTGCTGTGGCCGAGGCAGATTTTAAAATTCCCATTTTCCAGATAACAAGTACATTTTTTTTTTAACTTTTTTTTTTTGGCCACGCCACGCAGCATGCGAGATCTTAGTTCCCTGACCAGGGATCGAACCCGCGCCCCCTGCAGTGGAAGCACAGAGTCTTAACCGCTGGACCACCAGGGAAGTCCCCCAAAAAGCACAATTCTTATGAAGTTAATTTATCTGACAGTCTTCTGAAGGTTTATTTTAGTTATTAAATCTTTTCAAAAGAGAGTGGGATTCTTATGATAGAAGGCCTATAAACTGGGACAGGGTGAGTGTGGAAATTACTGGAAGGAGGATGGCTACTGGGATGAGGAGGAGGGATGGCCAGGTCAAGGAGGGAGACAGTCATATCTGAGGAGTCTGAATGAGAAGGAGAGATGGCTCAAATTCTCAAGAGCATAAAAAGCAGGTGAGGGCTTCCCTGGTGGCGCAGTCGTTGAGAGTCCGCCTGCCAATGCAGGGGACACGGGTTCGTGCCCCGGTCCGGGAGGATCCCACATGCCGCGGAGTGGCCGGGCCCGTGAGCCATGGCCACTGAGCCTGCG